CTTTCCCTCTTCCCTCTCCATCTGCTCTCAACCCCTCTCCCAACAATCATGAGGGATGTGAAGTTAGATATTGCTCGACTACTCATCCCAGGTAGTAAATTACCTGGGACATCTCCTAGACCTTGGAAATTCCTTGGGATGGTGGAGGGACTCTTCTCCCATGTTCTTTATTAGGTACATTCTAGCTTGAGCTGTCTTAAATGATTAAGATGTACTTGACTTAATTTTAGTAACACAGTAAGATAGGTGGCAATGCCCAGCTCTCAAGGAGAGCTATTTACAATATGATCTCATTTTTACAAAACACACATACCTAGACATAGATATATATTAATACTTGAGGTATCATCAAATATGTAAATGCCGTTAAATCTGAACACATATAAATCAATTTACACATGTTCTGTAAAGTATTTTTAAAATGTTTTTCCAATGACTTTTTTAGGTGTATTGTTTCTTCTGAGAGAGACAGCTCCCAGCAGGGTCTCACTGGTGTCATCCAGCCCCCGCTTCAGCTAGCCTCAGATCATGGGCCTAAGTGTTCCAGGTGTAGTCAGGGAGTCCTCTGGACTTGAACCAGCTACCTTCCTACGTGGGCTAGCATTGCAGAGCATAGTGTTTTTTCACTGAGCTGCTACCTGGCCAAGGTATTTTTAATGCAAGAGGAATTTTTAGGAAAATTTAAGTGTTACAGTTTTAAAATATGTATGTATGTGTGTGTGTATAGATATATATGTATATATCTATACACACATATATATGTATATAAATTATGTTAGTTGTTATAAGGGTGAATTGAGAAAGGGGTAGACAAAGAGATCAAGCTTAATGACCCAACAGTAGAAAACACAGCAATGGGCATTAGAAGATTAGCTTTCAGAGACAGATGCTGGTGTTAAAGTGGTAAATATTCAGGCGTAGGTTCTAGTAACATTTCCACGTTGCAGGCCTTTCCATATGACATTTGAAAAAATGTGAACTCTACCGTTTGACCGTAGGGGGGCATTTCTCCACTCCTAGCAGAACCGTCAGGTCCCAGTGGACTTCTTTCTTTACAAGCTACTTGAGGCAAAGGCCATATTTTCCCACCGCCTCTAGCACCATGCTTTACACATAGTAAGCACTCAGTAAAGATTTGTCAGGAGTATGAATGCACACGGTTTCCATAAAGGCACGATCCACGGCTGCCCAGCTGGTTTTTACTCCTATTTTTATCACCATTTGGAACTTACAGCTCCCATAACAACAATCATTGTGCCCCTTGAACATGTGTAATATTTAGTATCTCT